CATTAAACCACCACCCAGGAGGAGATTGGTCGGCTCAATGAGAGTAATCATTTCCCAGAAACTCCTCCGCATTTTTGTAATGCCTCATACCCGTGTCAGACTCAAACATTTTTGGTTATTATTTCCTCTCTAAACTCTTGACTCAGTGTCTTTGGTGTGTCATTTAGGCGGTGTTTTCCCTATTAAGGCTCATAAGGTCTCTCCCCTGGTCACCTTGCAGGAACCAATTACCCTGATGCCTTTCATTTCACCGAACTACTCCATGTAGATTATTTCTTTCTTTTATTCCACTGATTCTGCAGCTTTTTGTAGCCTTTCTGTGGAAAAACCTTTACTGCTGCAGTTTGTGTGTATTTTAGTCATTTTATCAATGAAACCCTAGAGCCCTGTTATTAGACTAATGGATGGATGTTTAATACTGTCTGAAAGAGGAAAATGTATCAGACTACACCTGATTTTGAGTCTGATAGGGTTTGTGCATGTTTGTGCTCTGGCACCATCTGCTGGAAGAGGCTGAGTTTGCACACATTGATGATGATTTGTTTCTCTGGAAGGAAAAGCAGCAGATTTATTTAAAAGTAAAGCTGAACTATCATTTAATAAGATCGTTTACAAATAAAAACATTTAAAGCTTTACTTTTTAAGATATTCTACAAATCATTTAATTAATTTGAGTAACAAGAAAATGGGCAAAACTAAATTTTTCTCTTTCTCTGTTTTAGTGACATTTTTAATAACAAACAACAATTTAACAAATCAAATAAGATTTGTTTGCTGCTTCTAGGCAGAAAAATGCTCATTAGGATTCTAAACACAAGATCTCAAAAAAACAAAACAGTTTCTGGGAAAACCCAGAAAATTTATTTGGATCATTTTCAGTTCAGACATAATTATCATTTATTAAAGGTGGATAATAAAACTGTCAGAGGAGAAAGACGCCTGGAACACTTTCTCAAATGATGAAAACATTTATAAACCCGACGCTAATCTGATTTCCATTCTGTCTCCGAGTTATTAATCAAAGGCAAAAGCTTTATTCCTGGTATCAGGAATTATGCATCTAATTTTCTGCACATGGAGCAAACTCCTGAACTCCTGCAGGATTATTTGAAGAACATAAAAATACGTAAATATTCCAAGAAAGCTCTGAAGTGGTTATAACTGTGCCAGTCTATTTCGATTTGTCTAACCATATAACTTCCAGAAGAAAAGAGCAACAAAATGCATTTACAGTCTAAAATATGATGTAAGGTAATAAAACAACAATATTTTAACATTTATTTGAACATTCCCATATTTTGCAGTCTGCTTGTGCTTCAGTAATTTACAGAGTCTAAAAGGAGCTCTAACAAGGGACTGATCTGCCAAACGGTTAAAGATGGCTGGAAATAAACCAAATTACGATTCCTGTTTGCAACTTAAAATTCAGATTTGTGCATCCACTTCCTGTCCAAAGTCATGGATAGGAATGCTGTGGAGGTTTTTCTGGCTTGGTCATCTGCTGGCTAAAGTCCTTTTTAAGGCATAGGAGTTTCTATGTGTCTACTGGTCATCTTGCCTCAGCTCTTACATCCCTAACATGTGGTGTCCCTCAGGGTTCAATCCTTGGCCCTCTTTTGTTTAATCTGTACATGCTTCTGCTTGGCCAAATCATAAAGAACTACTCCATTGGTTATCATAGTTACGCAGACGACACACAGCTATATCTCTCCCTGTCTTCCAATAACTTTGCTCCCCTTGAATCCCTCTATCACTGCCTCAATGAAGTTCAAGATTGGATATCAAAAAATCTTCTTAAAATGAATACAGACAAAACTGAAATAATTATTTTTGGGAGGAAGGACCAGAGACTAAAGACTGCCACACTGTTGAGATTGAAAGGCTTTGAAGTTGCAGAAACCGTAAAAAACCTTGGGGTCATTATTGATAACGAGTTAAGCTTCACCAGCCACATGAAGGCAGTCACAAAGTTAGCTGTTTATCATTTAAAAAACATTGCAAAGGTTATAAACTTCATATCACATGTAGACCTAGAAAAGCTTGTTCATGCTTTCATCACAAGCAGGGTGGATCACTGTAACGGTCTTTTCACTGGTCTCCCTAAAAAAACAATAAAACCTCTTCAAATGATCGAAAATGCAGCAGCAAGGCTATTGACCAAAAGAAATGATCACATCACACCAATCCTGAAATCTTTACATTGGCTACCAGTAACTCACAGGATTGATTTTAAAGTAATTTTACTTGCTTTTAAGTCATTAAATGGCCAAGGACCATTGTATATAGCAAAAATGTTTGAAAAGTATTGCCCTTCAAAATCACTTAGGTCAGCAGAAAAATACCAATTGGTACAACCCAGAGCCTGCACAAAGCACGGAGAGTCTGCCTTTAGCTGCTATGTGGTCCGCCTCAGGAACTGTCTTCCAATAGACATTAAGTCATCTCCTACCATTTCCATTTTTAAATCCAGATTAAAAACCAAACTTTTTTATGATGCCCTCCTTTAACCTATCTGTGGTCTACTAGGTTTGTATCCATGTTGTTAAATTTATTCTATATGTGATCGGTATGTATGCCTAGTCTGTGCTGCTTTATTGCTGTTCTACAATTTTTTGTAAAATTTTAACTGAATATGCTTTTATTTTTGTGTACTATGTTCTGTATCAATACTCCTTGATTTTATTATACATAACATGATGTGGCATTTAAATCTGTGATTGTTTTAACAATGTGAAGCACATTGGGCTACTGTTTTGTGTATGAAATGGGCTGTATAATAAACTTGGCTTGACTTGACATGGAGGGAACAGGTCCAGCACGGAAGTTCAGACAGATCCAGAGGCGTTCCTATGCCAGAGAAAATCTGAAACCTCACAGGTCTAACCCTAACCATAACCTGGAAAACCAGAGAAAGGTGACCAGGAGGAATCCTATAATCACCTCAGCAGACTCATTTAGCTCCCGAGAAGCAGTTCTACTCTGAGCTCCTCGTCTTACAGGGTTCTTTTGCAAGAATCAAATTCCAGTTGTTCCGAGGTGATTTGCATGATGTCCCTTACAATGGTGATGATTTACATGAACAGTACAGTACTTCCTCTTTTTGTAAAAAGTAAATGTTTTTGCGCTGATAACTGAGTTTCAAGGACTTTTGGTTTCCAAGAAAGAAGCTTACGTAAACTCAAGGATTTTCAAGGATTTTACGCACAAGCCCAACATGAGCTTGACCACTGTATGGAAGGAGGTCATTTCAGCTGCTTGTATCTTGTTTAGGTCACGATCCAGATCTAATAACCACTAGATGGACTGGATTCTGGTTGCAAACCAACGTCTATGAAGATTAACCCACCAAATAGTTCCCGAGCACAGCCACCAACATTTACTGTATTTCTTTTGTGTGGTGCAATATGAACATCTACCACTAGGTGGCAGCAGTGTTACCACCTTCATTCTGAAAAAATGACATCTGGCCGTAGTTTTCCAAATAAATTCAGTCTTAAAGCAACACTAAATAAGTATCCCGATTCTCTGTCTTACTGGTTGAAAGTGGAATTAAAACTGTCTGCCACGGCCTGCTAAAGCTAGCGCCAACAAGCTAACGCTAACAGTCGAAGGATACAAAAAAAAATGCCACAAGGTAAAAAAAAAAATTACAGACAGGCCAAAATATTACTTGCAAGTCCAGCAGCAACAAAGGCTGGTCACCATCAGCCCACTACTCCATAGCCTCCTTTAGCACTTTCTAGGGTTCTACCCCCACCCCAGTGCACCTACCCATGCCACAAAACTGTTAAATAGGAATTAGGCAGGTTTGCTACTTTTAGCACCGCCTAGTGTCTGTTTGTAGAACAGAGCTGTGCTTTCGTCTTTTTAACACCTAAATCTAACAGCTAAAATGTCTCCTCAGGCTTCATTTGTTTCTACAGGAGTGCACGCAGGAAGCAGACTGCAGCGCCAGGTGTGTCAGCTCAATTGTTTCTATGTCCCAACAGAGTGACCTGCCAGTCTGAAGTTGCAAGTGGAATATTCTGGCCAGAGGGGGCGATAAGGGCTGGGTGACCTTTCATTAACCCTGGGTATTCAGTTCTGGTCCTGGAGGGCCGGTGTTCTGACTATCCCTGCTTTGTCAAATATTACCACAGCGTGTTATGACAGTTTCGCTCTTGTTTACAGTAAAGTAACACACATATTAACCATGGTTTATTCTAAATAGGTGAAATTATTTGAAAATACAGAACTGTAGTATAAATATTAGCAAAAATATAGTTTGTTGTGATTTATTTATGAAAAAGAAAGTGTTTGTCATGATTCCGTGAATGACGGTAAACAATGGGAGAAATTTCTTGTTTACAGTATAATATTTTATAAGCCATTTACAAGCTGTCAGGTTACCATACAACAAGCAGGAATATGACAACTTCCAGAGGTAGTGCGTCTCTTCAGGTAAACAGCCTGTGACGTAGTAATTGGTCAGCGCATTTCCCCAAAATTTCTATCAGCAGGTAATTAACAGGCTTCTGCAAAGCCTAATGAGCGGTTGCACAGGTGATGCAACCACTGAATCAAGTGTGCTGGAGCAGAGTAACCACTAAAACATGCTGGATACCAGCTCTCCAGGACTGGAATTCAATACCTCAGCTTTAAAGGATAATTGTAGCACATACGGTCAAGAAAAGTTGCAAAGTATCCCTTTAAGTGTTGTTTCTTGTCAGCAGAGGGCTGGAGAGAGCCGTCCAATGTCAAGCTACTAGGTTATGGCCAAACAACCCCTGAAGCCAGTTTGAAAGCAATAAGTTAGTGTTAAAAACTAGTGCTGCTAAAATGTACAACCATCATCTGATTCTTAGCATAAGACATATCGCCAGATTCTTGCCCATTCACATCTAATGACTACAAAACCACAAGCCTCCTTGCATGAAGCATTTCAGTCACAAAGAATCATCTGAGCAGCTGTGTTATTTCCAGAACTGCATTAAAAGCATAAAGAAGCAGACTCACTGTGGTTACAGTTAGTGTCATGTTTATTTACAACAGAATCCTGAATGAGGAGGGAAAGAAGCGGGAGAGGAAGAGGGTTTTAAAAAGGAGACAAGGTGTTTGAGAACAACTGCTTCAGGATTCATGTTTCACTAACACGGTTCTTAATTTATTTTATTCACTTCTCTTCTATACAGAATCCATTCATAATATCAATGCAAAAACTGTTCAGGTACTTTGCTGAAAGGGACAGAAAAACAAAAAAAAATAACATAAAAAATAAATACAATAAAAATCTAAAGAAAAACAAAATCAAACAAGGGGCTAAAAAAACAACTTTCTATAAAAACTTTTATCAACATGATCGTCATCTGTTATTTATATATGTATATACACACACACACACAGATATATGCATATAAATCTATATATTTTCTTGCCATGTCCATGAAGTGGTGAGAGGGGTTCCACGACTGCACTGAACTCAGTCTTTGTCAACAGGCCCAGAGCTGACCAGAAGCTGCAGCCTTTAGTCCGATAGGTCCAGTGCTTCGGTGTGGGCCGGCAGAGCAGCCCTGTTAATGCAATCTCGGAAAATAATACATTGTACACCTGTACACTTATCATGCACGGCTGAAAAGTTATAAAAAACAAAACAAACAAAAACAAAACACCTAGCAAATAGTTCCATTCTCTCCCTGCTGCACGATCACTCCCACTGCTTCCAGTTTACATGACGTATTATCCACAAGCATCACAAAATGTGTGGCGGAAACAAAAACAGTTAGGAAATAGTGACTGTTACATCATTGCAGGTTATCTTTTTTCTCCACTTTAAAGTTTGATCTGTAAAAAGGTAATGACCGATCTTCCCCAAGCAGACCCACCTAAACAAACCGGAATAATCCCACAACCCAACTCGCTCTCATTAATCTGGGTTCAAACTCTCACAATAGTCAGGTCTTCATCGACTGAGGTTGAACACGAGACGCCCATGTACATTTCCTGATCTTGGCTCGCCACCAAATCTAAAATAAGTCGCCTTTTTTGTTTCTACAGATTTAAAACAACGCGTTGCATGGCGGGAGCTTCCAAGTAAAATAGCAGTCAGGAAAACTTATTTAACATTCATTTATTTGGAAGAAAAGGAAAAACACTGTTTACATTTCTGCTGCCTGCAGAAAAAAACTTAGAGGAGAAATGACCTTTGTGGAATTTCTGAAGTTTTCATTATACAAAAAAACAAAACAAAAAAAACTGGTGAGTTTTACAGCCTTTGATCTGACACAGCTCAATGCAAACCTGACTATTGTCACCGTTTTAAACAAGATAGCAAATTAAAACCAAGTAAAACTGCTGTGTTCTGCTCATTCTCACACACACACACACACACACACACACACACACACACACACACACACACACACACACACACACACAGAGCAAGAAACTATCATCTACCAGCATCCAACATCGATTTGTTTTTCCAGAGAGAATTAAAATATAAAAACCTTTGCTGTGTTTCTATTGCACAAGCTCTAAATGATGGATCCCCTTCAACACGCCCGGCAGCCTAAATTTACCAAAATCCCGGCTGCTGGCTGATGTCAGTTTCCCACCCGATCCAACACGCGTCCAAAAACACAAACACAAACTCAAGATACCGCAAATACGTGTGTACACATATATACAAATAAAAGCGACCCCTCCGACGCTGGAGGGGATGCAGCTTAACAATATTTAATGCATCAATTTTGTATATGCCAAGAATAAAACTTTCTCTAAATAAAATACAAAGTTATCTGTAGAGGTGTGTGTGGGGGGAGACAGCAGATGATCAGAGGTGGAAGGTGAGGCGCACAGGGAGTGTTGTTGGGGGGGTCCGGCAGCCATGATGGAGGGATGATGTAACAGGTGAAGGAAGCAGGATGAAAGGTTGGAGATGGAAGGAGAGGGATGACTCCTCTCCTAGAGGGCGCCGCTGCTCCGGGGCACCGCTCGGTGCTCTCCAGCTTTCCTCTGAGTTCATTCAATAACATTATTCATAATTGACCACAACAACGCTAAAAAAATACATATAAACCCCAGTCATGTCTCATGATCGCAAGTCCACAAAAACGGGGAGGCCTGGTCCTTTAGTTCATCAGAAATACAGAAAAGTAAGGAAACACAGAAAGAAGAGGCCAGACGAACGAGACGGGCCGTGTGAGGGGGTTGGGGAATGAGACTGTACGGGGGAAAGAGGGAAGGGACGGGGAGGACAAATACAGCACAGGCAGGAAGTGCTGCTGTGTAGAGGAAAGAAACAGCAAAGAGGAAGGCGGGAAGAAGCGGGGAGGATGAGTCTTGTTGGAGGGGGGTAATCATCACACACTGGTGTCCTTCTGGGGGGGGGGGGGGGGGGGGGGGGGTCACAGGTTTGTGGAAAGCATGAAGAAATGATAACAACATGGCCTCGCTGTGAGTGCGCCCTCTCTCCTTCCTTCTAACGAAGAGAAAGATCAGCAGTCGTCCCCGCGCTGCTTGTTCGTCCCCCCGGTTGCATCATACCTCCAGGAAGCGAGAGCTGCTGGTCTTGGCGTGGAACGGCTCCGACCACATGCGCCGCAAATCCCCCTGTGGGTCACAATCACGCGTTCAGACAAGAGTCTTTCATCAAAGAGACCAAAGCGCATTGAAGCAGATCTAAAATGGCTCCACTGGTCCACTTCCTGTCAGACGTGACCAAAGGATTAACCACAAGCACCACAAATCTCAACATAGTAAACAATATGACATTTTCCCAAGTAATATTCATGAGTCCAAAAATGACGATGGCCGATATATTCACGCAGGTGACATCGAGACGTTCTGTGTGACTCACACACATTACATGCCGTGATCCACCAATCAGAACTGCTCTTATTCGGTTTGCAGAAGCAGACCACGAGGACCCGTGGAGGATTTTGCTGTTTTCTGAATTTCATTGTCCGTTTGATGCGTCAATAAACAATATACTATTGGCTGGAGCTACAGACGTGAGGATGGGGGCAGGACTAATGACATACTGGCCAATAGAATTAGCCAATATGAGGATGCTACTGGAGGTTATGATGGGAAAAAGACCTATCTGAAGAAAAAAGTGACTATTTTCAGCGGTATATTATGCTGGATTGCGGATGTAAGACTTGTTGTGGACTATTTTGTGGATTCTTATGGATGTAAAACTGTTTGAGATGTCTTTGTTTTGTCCATAAAATGAAACTTGAACTGGTGAGTTAGACATTATTTTAAATTTGTGATTGGTTTGATAAAAGTGATCCTAGCCTCCTAATGATACGCATGTAGAGATAGAAGAGTGTTGCACTGATCTGGTATGGACGTTAGTAATCTCTCATCCGCAGGGTTAATCTGTAATGCGTAAAAAAATAATGTTGCTCGTAAGGCCTCGGACTATCGCCCATGATCAATGAATTCACCCAACAGCCTGACCTTAGTCAGGCCATCAATTTGAAAAGGATGGTTTAGAAAACAACATTGCCTGAACTGCTCAGAAATTCAGAATCTCATCTGGAGGATGTAAACGTATTTCTCCTAAAAGCATTTACAGATTTCAGTTGTTCCATGTTGTTATAATGTGTGTAGGCTCTTACATATAAATTGGTTATGGATATAAAAACTTATGGGTATGGAAACATGTTTTCATTGCATCCCAGCGGTATACCTTCAGGTAGGCCATAGTGAGCAGAGGCAGTAGGGTGAAGGGAACCAAGTAGAGCAGAGCAGGTTGAGCAGCACGATGAATTCGAGAGGCCACTGTGGCAGTCAGCAGACCTGAGTATTTCAAACATGTAAAAATCACAAGAACATTGTTGTAAAACTAACTAAATGTATTTGATCAAATTAAAACCAGACCAGAGACACTTTACAAGTCTTGGTCATTCAAATCCATCATCCATAGATTTGTTGCTTACCCACAAAGTATCCGATAAGAGTGCAGTGGAAATAGGATACACGCTGCATGCGTCCGGACATGTTACCGGGCCCTGGGACTTCCCCAGTCGCCTGCTTCTTGTAGTTATCGTAACGCAGGACGAAGCATAACAGCAGCCCTGGCATCACAATGTCTCCTATTCCCAGCATCGAGAAGTGACTTCCTGTGGAGCTGCACAAGTGCAGAGGGCGGAAATAGTGCTATTAGAAACATTGTGTGTGTGTGTGTGTGTGTGTGTGTGTGTGTGTGTGTGTGTGTGAGACATGAGTGAATAATCACAGTGGTTGAGACTTGGTTAAAGTTCTTACTGAAGCAGGAGAAACTGTTCAGCAGAGTAATAAAATACTGACCATCAACATCAGTTCTGGTTTCTAGAGGGGTCCCGATATAGCTGCTTAGTTTATAATTTAGTCTTTAGATTTGGAATAAATGTCAAATGTCTTCTTTCAACTTAGGAAAATTTTAAAGACATTCAACGGTAAAAAAAAAACTCAAGCTAATGTCTGATGATTTAGAACAATATTTGAACAAATCTAAGTATACATAATATAACATACGGAATAAAATAATCATGATGCAGTTTAATTAAATACTGTTTTTATTTATATACTATGAAAATGTTTTAAGCCATCATTTCTTTAGATTTTTTATCCACCAGTTTTTCTAAAGTTGTTTTGATCAATAATGCTTCAGGCCTTCTGTTCTGAAGGTCTGGTAAAGTGTTTTTTTTATCCTTGTACCAAAACAAGACGAACAAGGATGAAAGACCTTTCAGGTCTTTAATGGATCTTTTTCTTAGACATGGTTTTGAAAAACTGTTCATTTTTTTAAAGCTCAGAAACACACACACACACACACACACACACACACACACACACACACACACACACACACACACACACACACACACACACACACACACACACACACACACACACACACACACACACACACACACACACACACCTAATAGATCAGCTTTTAACTGATGAGAAAACTGAAACTGTGCTTTTTGTCAAATATTTGTAGATTGAGAAAAAGAGGGTTGCAGGCTATGAAAACCAAAGTTCGCTAAGATACAAGTGTTTGCTCTTGAACACACCACACTGTTTTCCTTTCTCGTAGGGCGCTTACAGGAACAACACGCTCATTTTCAGGATGAAGTACAGAGTGATGAACACACGTGGGAATGAAATGTGAGTGTTTAACGAAGATGAACTAAAATGTGTCAGTGGGTTGGATAAATACCTGAAGCCAAGGTACAATTTAGTTTTGAATTTGATCTTTTCCACAAATTTGATCTTTGCTGCAAATCCAACGGAATGAGCGACATTCCTAAAATCTATATCATGTATGGCTGGGAAGATAATCAATAAATCATTTAATCGTAGGATAGATGAAAATGAACTCAATTTTTCCAGCCTCATATTATCGAGGTTAAGAAATGTACAACTCCATTATTATTTATTAGCATCATTGAAATGCAGATTTGGTTGTTGACACCGGATGGGCCGTTGTATTTTTTATTTTGGAGAGACAAGGTCTATTTTATTGTTTTTGGTGCAATATTTTCAAACAAAGAGTAAAAGTCCTTTTTTATTTTATTTACGTCTTGTTTTATAAGTTCTGGTTCTAGACATTCTAATGTTAAATAAACATTTAATTGTTGCGTTCTAAAGGGCGTCCTTGCATCATGATATATTAACATTACATAAGTGGTTAGTTTGGTCACAATAATGTCGACAATAATATCGTTTATTGTCAATAATTTGTTAGACAATATATTGTCCAGGAAAATTTGTTATCGTCCCAGGCCTAATATCGCGATACATTTGGAAGAACCTGCAGTAACGATTTATTTTACAATTTATTCTTTTCTTCAGTTCATTTATGTCAAAATGAACAATCTCACACACCAGATGAATTGCAGCAGAACGGATACTTCTAAAAAGTACAAAATGCCATTTAAATTACATTTATTGTTCAATACTTATTTAAAAAACACACAAAACATCTCAAATAATTTTTATGTTGTTAGGATTTTTTCCAAGCAGTGCAACACAAAAATTCTCATGAAATGAACAAATATCAGAAATGCTCCAAAATGAAAATTCTTAGTGAAACCGAAAATGTTGAAACCGAGGACGAAACACCGAAATGAAAGATTCTGTCAATAATTAAACCCAAAGCATTTATGGCTATGATGTGCACCAACCTCACTAAAATCAAGGCATTGCAATAAATCAATAACAAAACCATGACTATATTTATTTAGCACTGAAATAACATCAATGCACAATATAAATTAAAACTCAAAATAAAATGTTTCACTTGACCCCACTTGTGTGTTTATTAAAATGATAATAAATTCTAAACAAAATAAAAGATAAATGAACAGGCTTATAATAGGAATAGTGCTGAGGACTAAAATCAAGCCCTTGTGCGCCAAAGTCGCAATATTACATTTAATGGGCCACAGCTGCAAATCTGAAGTTATTGAATTGAAGTTATTACTTTACACCAGAAGATAGTGGAGATATGTAACTTCAGTCTGAGCAACACTTTTGGGTGTTTCAGTAGACATTTTGGAGTTTATGGAGTTTGAAAACCCAAACTACCAGGTCGGGTCTGGATCAGTAACAGGAGACTCAGTGACTGATGATTGAAAAAAAAAAAAAAACAGGAGAAGAAAAGCTTTTTCTCCAGTTTCTAAACCTTGCAGCAGCACAGAAACACACACCACACACCACCAGCAGACAAGGTGGGTTAAGCGTCTGAATTCTCCGCTGGGAGCCGGGATCAATCCAGCAACAACTTGCTCTACTCCCCCCCCCCACCAATCAGAGGCTTGCTCTGATGGAAGGTGTGAATTTGCTGTCAGCAGTGGGTGTGTTGGCCCTGGTCGGCCTGAAGCAGACCCCCTCGAGAAGAGGGCTGAGAATGAGCCTTGGTTGGCCCGGAAAAATACCAGACCACCCAGATATGTAAACAACCTACGCTACCCGGCCCGGCCCGACCCGGTACAGGTGGGAATGGCCCATAAGAACAAAGTGAGCAGGCGTTTGTAAAAAACTCAAAAACAGACTTCTTAGTCTGTACATCAACTTTAATTTACAGCAAAATCTTTATTGTATTTTTCTTATTCTTGACTTTTAGGACTTCCTGTAAAACTGATGTTTTACTTGTGAAATAGAAAACAAAAGTCAAGGATTCACAAGTTTAGAAGCACCAACGAAACACAAACCAAAGTGTTACCTTGGAAAGACGAGCTTTCCGGGTAGGGAGAGACGGGGGACGTCGCGGCCCATGGCTTGCCCCAGGTGGAGCTTCCTGGACAGAACATCTATGGGATTTTCAGCAGGTTGGGTGGCAACCTTCACCATCACATTACTGTTAAAGATGTATGCTGAGAAGAACACCTGGAGGGCAAAAGAGGCAGATTCATCAGACGTGCTGATAACTGCCCAATTCACAACAACTTTGCAGCTTAAACTCTTATTTTCCAGATAACTTTCATATATTTGCTCTGCATTTCTCCTATTCTGTCCCACCAGTAGCCAATAATGTTTCTATTACTTATTATTGCTGTAAGTAAATAAAAGGAATTGGTTCTTTTCTTAGCCGTAACAAATACCTACCTGGAAACCGGATCCCCGTTTTGTCATTGTAGCTACTAAAACATGCATTACTGAATTCAAACTAAAATGGATACGGGAGCATTTCTTACCCAGAACACATCATAAATGAGCAGTCCTGACAGCAGCAGGCAAGACACCTTCAGACTGGGGAGCCGAACAAACGCGATCATGGCTACACACAAGCCCATGGCTAAAGCTGAGAGCAGGAAAAACAACAAGAAAGGTAAAAATCATCAGACCAAGTCTGAGGTGATGGTTAAGAAATTGATAAAAAATAATAAATATACTGATAATATCTTATTTTTGCTTTGCTTAATGACGTTGCAGCTAGGGCTGCAACAAAGAATCGATTAAATCGACAAAAACCGATTAAGAAATGCGTTGCCGACACATTCCGTCATCGATTTGTTGTTTTGAGCTACTTTTTTTTGTGTCGTGCAACCTTTATTTAACATCATCGGTAGGCGACAGCAGATCAGACCGAGAGAAAAAGCCGGTGTTTTGTTGAGGAACAACACTTAGAACATAGAAGAAGCAGGAAGACCTAAGAAAATTAAAACGTCAAAAGTTTGGGAGCACTTTGTTAAACAACGCAAAGACTTGTCACCTACAACATATGTAAATCAGACACGGCATGGCACGGGAGCACGACGGTGACGATGCAGCATCTAAAATGAAAGCATGTCGGAGCTATCAGCGAGGAAGAGGAGAACTCAGTGTCCGGGTAAACTGCAACAAACTATGTAAAAATTTTTTGCAGAGCCGCTGCAGTCGGCTTGCTGCTTCGAGTCTGCTGCAGGATTACGGCAAGCCACTGTAGCATGTAATTCACAAACGCGTTTATCTTTGAACATAATTGAAACTGGATTATTGCTAATCTGTACATAATAGATATGTCACCATTACATTATTAACAGTAGGAATAAAATATTATTAGCATTTCCAGTAGCTTACTACTGAACATGCTACTGAATTACATTCATTTTTACTGATCATAGTTTAACTGTGGATATAATTAGGTGATAGCATGTTGTTTTGCACGCTTTTGAACTGTTTTCTAAACATGTTCTGTTGTTAAATAAAGTAAAGGAAGGAGAGAAAAAATGTTTCCCAAGCAGTTTTAAAATTTTCCCGTTTAATCCGATTAATCGAGCTGAGACCCCATCTGATTCATTGATGATCCAAATCATCGTTTGTTGGTGCCCTAGCTGCAGCTACACCGGCCATGTGTTTTTCATTATGATGACAGAATAAATCTTTGCCTTTTTCCTTCAGGCAGCATTCTTCACATAACTGAAGACGACTTTCACAACAGGAACCACCAAACTAAAATACAGAACTCCACAAAAGCTTCTATACATGGAAACTGATGGATATCTTAAATGTTATGTTGAATAAAGAAGCTGACTGAAGAACCAGAATCTTTCATATTAAACACTGAAATGGGTCTACCCACATAATTAACAGCTAGCAAACAGAACGCCACCTCAGGCATCTCAGAGCTTTCTCTAAAAATGTCCTCTGATTATTAAAAGATTAGACTACGCGGAGACTCATACTGCTCATGTCTGGTCACTGCAGGACAATTATCAATATTTCATGTCTGTATTGTGCATGAAATGCTACCCCTGAAGGTCTGAAGAATCCGTTTTACGTCCCGATTCTTGGGTTACATAATCCTGTTGCAAAGCTGTACTCAAACAAACCTTGAAACGAGGTTGCGATACGCACTGAATCCCTATGGATCAGAACCATTTAGCCCTGATGGAGCGACGTACCGTCCATGAGGAGCCAGTGACCGGTCAACACCCAGATAAGGACCAACATCACGGACAGGGAGAATGAGAGCAGCTCAGCCAGAGTGAAGCGTCCGCAGCAACCGAATGAAATCCTGTAGGAAAGACATGACAAATGTCAGCACAGTCACACTGATGGGGTTAAACACTCTCACCCTGACAACACAAAACAGCTTGTTCCATTCAGCAACGTGCAAAACCAGCTACAGTGAGATAAATTGGGTGTTTGGCTTAGAGGCCAGAAGATTTGACAAGTTTATGGCTAATCAATAGCTAAACAATCCTGCTGGCAACAGGCGTTGTGTGTGTTACGATGACCTCAACAGTTGGTTTATTTAGAGTGAAAAGACAAGCTAATGAAAATCTAATAAAAACTCCAGTCTGCGTGGCCTCCACCCACAGAACAGTAATAAACTGCAGAACATACAGTTTTCCCATGTAGGAGGAAAAGTTATTATTAGTTGTGTAAAGCAGACAAACACGATGTGATGGAAGAAATCTGTGAGCTAAACAGCGATTACGTTAGCTTTACAGTAAGTGATTCTAGAGACAGAAAAAACTATGTTACAAACTGCTGAACAAAGAAGCTAAATCGTAAAAAATGAATGTTTATTCTGCAAGAAAACAAGCAAACCATGTTCTGTTTTCAGAAGCAAAGTAGATTGTTCCTGTGCCTTTCACCTGTTTCAATCCTGAGGATTGCTGTAAAGACTCTGACACCAGGAAGTGACTCGATGCAATCTGCTGGGGTCCTTATATAGGAAACTTATTTCTGACTGGCTTAATGAACTGACCTGTATTGGAATGTTTACTGTGTGAAGTGCCTTGAGACGACTCTTGTCGTGATTTGGCGCTATATAAATAAACTGAAATGAATTGTTTTTACTTTCTGATTTCAGCACTTTATAATATCGTTATAATATCTGAGGCTACAATATTATGGTAATACACAGACTCACTGAGCTTTACAGATGTTTGTAAAAAGGTAGAAAACAGCAAGGAGCGGATTTAAAGAAATAAAAAGCCATGTGACTTTCTTACTTGTTCTGTGGGGAGCAGGGTCTGGTCAGATACTGGCACATTGGCAACAACAGGAATGCAAATGCGATAGTAGCAAGAACTGAGGAGAGGAACAAACGCACAGCAATGAGACCTTCAGCCTAATACACCTTGACGGCTTGTTGCAGTCACTTCTGTCTGTTTAATGGGGCAGCTAATGGTCCTCGGTTTCAAGGACTTTCCCACTGTGCAGCTGCTAAACACAAAGGTGAACATTTTCAGATCATTCTGGAGTGTGGTTATGTTGCACTCAGGAGCATTGCTTACCTGCAGTGCAGATGGTGAAAACCACCTGTACTGAGTCAAAGAAGAAGAACATGACTAGCAGAGACACAGAAGCTCCTATTGGCAGAAACAGGGCCTGTGTCGAGTCTATGGTTTGAATGCCTGAAAAATAATAATACAAAATAACCGTAAGTGGACAGAAAACACACACGCACACACGATAAACCCAGGCAGCATAACCCAGTCACTGATAACATTAACTCAAGGAAATATTTGGTGTGTTAGATTTGTTCTTTGACATTTTCTCATACTGACTGTTGTTTGTGTTGCCGTTATTAAAAGACCCTGTTGTTGATGGGTTACCATCTTTATCCTTCTCCTGGTTCTCACAATCCATGTTTAATGACCTGCAAAGAAGAAAAGAAAAAACAGGAGGTGGTCTGATTAGAAAACCCAAAGAATCAACTTTTTAGAGAAATAATGGATGTCTTTTCATTTTTGTTGATGATACTCATTCATTCAAGCATCAAGTGGTTATAACAATATAGAACGTAATATAATAATAATATAGAAGTAAAATAATGAAAAGAAAATTAGTAGAGGCCAACCAATAATTTTTTTAAGGCCGATACTAATTTTTAAAGAATTTCGTTACCAATGGCCGATATCTAAAGCCGAGTATTAAGGCCGATAATATACATTTTAGCAGCACATTGAATGTGAAAGACAACTGAACACTCATTGTGTGAAATATTAGTAAATAAGTCAATAAATCTCTTAATATTTATTGAACTTCAAATATAAAACAAACTCAAAACATAATTAGAAACAGTGTGTTGGGGACCTTCGGGTCCTTTCTTCAGTCTAGTAGTGCCGGTGTCGGTACAGGATCTGCTCGGGTGCAGGATCGGCTCGGGGTCCTTCGACTACCGATGACGTCACATTACTGCAAAACTACTCGGCTTTCACACATACGTTTTGGAAAGACATCAGCAGTTTTGTTAATACATTCTTGTTTGTTAACACCTAAATGTTTTCTTTATAATTGTAATTTATTAATAAAACACCATATTATCTTTGTTTTGTAAAGAATGTGAAACTGCATAAAACCAACATCGGACTGACAAAAAATAGAACAGTTCTTATATGTGAAGCCACATCTGTTTGTGTTAATGTGGAGTTCGTCTGTATATTTCCTTAGTTGTTATCTAAATATATTCTTTGACTCAAAATATTGTTTGGTGTCTTTCAATAAAGTTCTCATATTTTATTTTGCCCCATTTCATCAACATCAAGAGCTGTTGAGGGTCACCGTTTATTATTTGCTTATATTTTACATTTCCTTTAGAAATTCAAACATCTTTTCTCCAAAAAGTGTTGATTTTTGGACTACAGGACAACAACCGCAAATTTGTTCTGACCAATCAAAATCATAACGTGATAACGTAACTTCCGTAAGCTTCATGTTCAGGCAATCAACTACTTTGACGTCATCAGCAGTCGAAGGACCCAGAGCTGATCCTGCACCCGAGCAGATCCTGTACGGACAGCGGCAGTTGGCCATACAGGTGCCTGATTAAAAAAATATTTTTTCCCCTGCTCTTAAAAACAATTTCGGCCGATATAGAAAAAAATTGAATACATCGGCTCGATATATCGGTCGGCCTCTAAACATTTGTCTCCGTTTATCCATCCTCTTGTAGAATAGTCATAAGTACCTGTTGAACCACCTCTGGCCCTCAAGTGTCCAGATGGAGTATCAGGATTAGTAACCTGCCATATCTTGGCCTTTACATTAGTGTTTCACATCCCTGGCCCTCGGGACCCACCGTCCTGCATGTTGTCCATGGTGCCCTTTTAAATACCAGTCTTTCCCTGCTGCCACACACCGGACTTAAATGAATGATTGACTAACTGACATCTGCAGCACTTGATGCTCTCCTGAGGAGGCAAGGCAAAGATGTAAATCAGGTGTGCAGGTAAGTGGGTACCAGGGTTTACAAACTCTGCTTTACATGACTTCTGCCTTTTGGTGGAGGATCTACAGGTGACAAGGGCCAATTTTCTTTTATTTATTATGGTTATATTGTTAATTATTACTTATTCCAATAAACAGATCATTACGCTCTTATATTTATTAGCCAATATATTATTCCATTTTAAAAAGTAGATATTATTTCATATTTCAGGCATTATACGGTTAACAATACAGATCAAATAAATAAAACTGTAACAATACAATAAAACAAAACATGAAAATAAAAGTAGGGATGGTCAGGTTTCTGCTGCCGATCACCAAAAGTGAAGATTTCGGATACTGATCACACGGAATGAACATACAGTTCTGTGCAGTTATGAGTGCCACAGACTACAGGATCTGGGAGAAAAGGAACATCACCTTAAATGGCATGTATTCATTTAGACAAATACATGTTTTTACTTTTACAAGAGAGAGAGAGATAAAAAAAAGACTTGCAGCAAAACCAGTGTTTGTTTCTGACCACAACTTCTAAGCTTCCTACTCAAACCCAAGGTTTAGAGCTGAAGAAGCCTCTGGGATGAAAGGAAAACACCTTCAAGATAACCAGGAAATTCCAGTTGTTTTCATTTAAAACTCTCAAGATGATCATGTCCAGGATGAATAAGAATCTACAGCAACACGCAGCACAAAGCTGCAACGATTCAGTCAAAAAAAGGAAAACAAACACTTAACTATAGCTGCTGTCAGTAACAAGCTGACTGATTTAAAACATTTATAGCTCTCAACAGTCTAAACAGTGCAAAAAAGCAAAAAATAAAAATAAAAATATAAAATAAAATATATAATATATATCTCACAACGTGGGTGTTGTGAGATTTATCACTGTGAGGGTTTGTTTGAAGAGGCAATGATACAAGAGTAGAGTTATGCATTACGGTTTTATTTTGAAGGGGAGTTCAGCGGGCGGAAAAGGTTGTCGTTTCCGATTCTAGCCAGTGGTTGTTGTATCATACTAATGAAAAGCGCTCTATTATGAACTGTTGTGTGGATAAAAGAAGAAGTAGTACTATGTTGTGGGTTACGTCCAACAGCAGGTAGAATAAAATACTTTTAAACGAGTAACCTGAGTCGTGTTAGTTTTCTGACAGATCTGACAACACTCGTCTGTATAGCTGATACAGACGAGTGTTGGGGAGAAAAGCCGTGTCTGATTGTTGCCACCTTTAGTCTTTTTATCTCTGCTGTGAGCTTTAAAAACTCACCTCACTCTGCCCAGAGTTTCTTCTTTCAAAGTCCTATTACATTTGCCGTGTTGACGCATTTTTAACGAACTTCCCCATTTGTTTACATCACTCTCACAGACACAACAAAAGATTGTTTCAGAGAGAGAGAGACTTGAAGCAGCACAGTCTGTCAGTTCCAAAGTATGAGCGACAGATGATGAGTTGGTATGATCGGCTCTGAAAGGAGTGGATCGAAATTTGCGATCATGTTTTTTCATGTAAATTGTCAGATTTTGATTGGCGGCCGATCAATCGCAACATCCCTATGTAAAAGTATGACTTTTAATATCTATTTAATACCTACACTTGGTTTTGAATGTAAACAAGGAGAAAATCACTAATGAAACTGATGTTTAGTCTAAAAATGTTAAAATACTTGAAATAATCTAACCTTTTTAAGAATTAAAAACCCTAACTTACCAAATATGTTTAAGTAATTCAAACATGTGGAGGAAATTATGTCTTCAGGGAAAAAATGCTCCCTAAACGGGATGATTTTTCCATTACAGGATGCTATCTGTGCACCGGTACATAGATGGCTTTGAGGCCAACTAAATGCTACAATCAACCTATGGCATGCAATTTACCTTCTACTAAGGCAACCATGAAATTGATATATCATGTAATATTAAATGAATAAGTCAAAACACAGCCAGGGGCTAGACTGCGGCTTTAATCTTTGCTGCCTGTTGAGGTAAAAATGATGTGCGATTAGAGGAGTGAATCTTCACTTGTCTCCCGATTCGATTACGATTATTGGGTCAACGATTCAATTCGATGCATTACAATTATTTCATATTGATTTGTTTTCATCGATAAATAGAAGATGTCAGATAATTGCTTTTTATTTATTTAATCAAAAATGTAATTGACACAACCTGCCATCTCTCAACAGCTCTCCATTCACAACAGGTTAGGACAAAACATTTTAAACATTTAAGAAGATTTAACAAAGTAAAACAATCTGTTTCCTCGTTCAACACCACGCCTCAGGCTGAGAAAAACACTCTTTGCAAAAACTCACAAAATCTGAAAAAATACTGAAAACCTACAGGACACATAATGTAATAATAAAATACATAATGGATTCATATATGAGTGTTTAATGTTTCTGAGCAGCTCTAGAGTCAAATATTTATGCCACAGTTGAAGGGTGTCAGAAATAACACCAAATGAAATGTTTGACTTAGTTTGTTATTTTATTTGAACCCAGTGGTTCGTTTCTGAAATGTCGGAGAATGAATCAAGTTCTGTTTGATGCAGAAAATAATAAAACATAAAACAAATTATACACTCCAATAATATTTAAGATGTGTGTTTTATTCTTTCTGATAATAACACCAGCAGAAGGCTGTGGTCTGGATTAGGATTAAATTACCCAGCTGATGGATCTCCTTCACTAACCAGCTAACTACAAACCTTTCCACTAACCTGTCCTGCGGGACCCTCACCATGTGACCCTCATGTCCATGCTGTCTCTGGAGGAGCAGACAGGAAGCAAGACCTCCTGTAACCTAAAATGAACCAAAGCTTGTTCCCAGTTTTTTAAGTTGAATTTAACATCAGTTTATCTTCAAATGAATAAAGTGGAACAAAAACTTCTATCTTCTATTTCTCTCTCCTGGTGCAGGAGAAGGTGGAGGCGCGGTTGTCTAAATGGAAATGGCTTCTCCCTCAGCTGTCCTACAGGGGCAGGGTTCTGATAGCAAACAACCTGGTCGCCTCTTTTCTGTGGCACAGACTAATTGTACTGGTTCCACCACCGGGTCTGCTGGAAGGTGTTCAGAAGCTGTTGGTGAAATTCTTCTGGTCCGGTCATCAATGGATCAGAGCTTCGGCTCTTAGCCTACCCGTGCCAGAGGGAGGACAAGGACTAATAGACGTGGTGTCTAGAACTGCAGCCTTCAGGTTACAGACAGCTCAGAAGCTTCTTTATGGTGACAAACTCTGGTGGCTCCCCCTGGCTCACCTCCTGCTGCAGAAGGTTGGTGGGCTTGCGCTGAACAAACACCTGTTCCTGTTGAATCGGAAGGTGTTTGATCTGACAAGGATTAGTCCGTTCTACTTGTCAGTGCTGGACACTTTTAAGCTGCTGACGGTTTCCCGAACGCCTGACACGGGACCAAGGACATGGTTGCTACAAGAACCCTTGTTTGACAATGACTTATTCTCTCGAGCTGGCATTTTGACTTCGTCTGCGTTGAAAGTGAAGTTCATCGATGCTGGGATTGTAAAGTTTGGTCACTTACTGAACATCCCGGCTAGAACTCTTGGTAAGCGGGTGGATGTGAGGTCCACCAGAGTGATGGAGAGTGGTGGAGGAGGTACGGAGGTCCTTGTCTGTGTCGCAGAGAGCCTTCGTTGAGACTTGTACTCTATCTAACCAATGGGATGATGACAGTGAGTATGTTTTTCCATCTCTGGAGGTTAAAACAGCTGGTGAGGGTTAGCAGGAAGACAGTCGATCACTGCTGAACCCAAACACCCCAGTGTTGGGCTCCTTCCAGTCTTGTGGGAAGAAACAGATCCATCACACTTGTGCTCCTTGTTAGGAGTCAAGGAGTCGAGGTGGACTCAGGTGTTTGCTGCGGACCGTGCCCCTGGGGGCAGCTGGAGGAGTTGGTATAAGTCTCCAGTGGAAAAAAGGATGGCTGACCTCCAGTGGAGGATCATACATGGAGCTTTAGCTACGAACAGACACAGAGCCCGCTTTGATCCAAGCACCGGGGAGGGAAGAAGAAGAAGAAGAAAATATCATTTCTATAGCACCTCTCAAGATAAAAATCACGAGGCGCTTCACAAAAACAAAAAAAAAAATGTTAAAATATAAAAAAGCATTTAGAAAATGTTTAAAATATAGTTAAAATGAGCAAAAATAGGCAATTGGGATTTAAAAGAAAAAATGTTAGAGAGAGAGAGTGAATAGGAAAGAGGGAAATCAGTGGATCCTGAGGAAGGTGGAATAGGTGTCCTTTTTGTAACCAAACAGAGACCCTAGAGCATCTAGTGGTAGCATGTTCTAGGTTATCAGGGATGTTTAAGGATTTAGAACGGTGGGTTATTGCACTGGGGGAGGCTTTCACCCAACCCTTATTTGTTTTCGGGCCCAAGTACAGTGTCAGAAAAAAATGGACAATATTGTTAATTAGCTTTTTTTTTGCATGTGTAAAACTAGCCATCTGGAAAACCAGATGCTGGGACAGAGCTGGACTGATGCTGAGCAGAGCCTGAAGGGCCTGGTGGAAGCTCGCTTAAAGATCGAACACGCTTTTTATGAACTTACTGGGAACCTGGACTGCTTTAGAGCGTTGTGGGGGATCGGGCAGGTGCTCTGTCTGCTGGATGGACAGGGCTCCCTAAAGATCAACTTCTAAACTGTGGGTTTATCAGTTTTCCTGGTTTTATTAGTGGAAGAAAAGCCCCCCCCGGTTGATTCGGCTCCGGCAGTGCTCAGCCCCGCCGTACCACATGAAGGCGGAACAATACTTGGTAAATGTGGAGAACACTCACTTTGACAGATATGGATGGCATACTCTTCTACGATGCAGAATTGTTTATGTATGCATCTTGATGCATCAGTTATTTTCCTCAGCTCTATGTGCGATTGTAACAATTCTCATGCAGTGTTTTTGTGAACTTGACCCTGTAGATTAGCTTTTTCAGTAGACCAAATATATTTCATTAATGTAATTAAATTGCTAAAGGCGTATTTTTCATAAACCAGAGCATTGCAGTCTGGGGAGCTGCTTTTTCCATAATGAGAAGATGAAAAACCGCCTTCAAACATGACTCATAACTTAAGAAAATATAAATCAGGAAGAATATCTAACTTGTGTGGCAAATAAAATATGCTTCATAAGTCACTGACTTTTTCTACTCAGGCCAATTAAATGCAGCTATCTGGTGACACTGACCTGAAGCTGCCATAAACGATGAGAAGGATGGAGATGAGGAAGGTCGACACCTGGCTTGAGTCAACAAGGGAGTACGCCCTGTAGACGAGAGAGAGAGAGAGAGAGAGAGAGAGAGAGAGAGAGAGAGAGAGAGAGAGAGAGAGAGAGAGAGAGAGAGAGAGAGAGAGAGATTAGAGCACAAAAGTATAAAAACATGAGTATACCCATCAGCTTAAAGAAGATACTGGCTGAGGACATGTGGGCAGACAAATTAGTAAACAAGAAAAAACTCCCTCTGAAGAGACTCAAAGTAGGGATGCACTGATACGATACTGGTATAGGTATCGGTAAAAGTTAAACGATACCAGGAACCGATACCAATGCAGTTGCTTGAAAATGGCTTCACTGTAACTTGTCATTTTTGTTCACCTAATATTTTAGTTTTGTGATGATTTCTATTCATATATTTTACTTTTTATCTACCTCACAGTCTTTTCCTGTTGAAAGCAGAGAAGAAAATAAAATCTGTATTCCAAATCATTGCATTTTTTTGTGTGGTAGAAGTATCGGTATCGGCGAGTATTCAGATCCAAGTATCTGTATTGTATCGGTTTGGAAAATGTGGTATTGTTGCATCCCAAACTCATAGTAAACAATAGTTTAATGACATCTTTTATTGCAGTTCAGATCCACAGTTCTTCAACGGGATTAAGGTTCGTGGAGGGCCAGTTAAGAATAGTCCAGTGTGTTTTCTCCCTCTCAGCTATTCTTGAGTGCTTTCAGCTGCATTCTTCTGCTCTTTATCCTGTTGGAGGACCCATGACCTGCAACTGAGGCTGAGCCTTCTGACACTGGGTTAGTATGCTTAACTCCAGGATGCTTTGGTGGATTTTGTGTGCCCGGCACAGATTCAAGATTGCCACTGTCAGATGCAGAAAAGCATCTCCAGAATAAAGCCGAGACCCTGCTATGTTTCACAGTGGGCATGGTGTTCCTTTCTTTGAAAGCTTGTGACTAGCCAAAAAGCTCCTGTTTTGTCTCACCAGGATGAAGGACTTTCTCCCAGAAACTTTGAAGTTGGTTAATGTGCACAATTCCAGCCTGGGTTTTTGTGTTTTTCTGTCGCTAGCAGAGTCTTCTTTCTTACAGTTCAAAATGAAATGGTGCGTACCGTGACCTTGAATTTGGAGATGAATGTTGTTTTTATTATATTTCTTATTAATTATTAAAAATAACATTATTTTTAATTGTGTTCTTGTGAAGTGCCCTGTGATTTTTATCTTGAGAGGTGCTATAGAAAAAAGAATTTCTTCTTTCCTTTGCTCATCTTCCATCACCCATGCTATCTGATCAGTCAGAGAAGGTTTCCTCTAGCGTCCACATCCTTGGATGTTTGCCATTGTCACTAACCCTCTACTTAATAATACTGCTATTTGCCAATTGTAGCAACAGGGCTTTAAAATCCTTTCCTTTGATGATCTGTTAGGTCTATCACAGACTAAAGGCATTCAGCTACACATTAAAATATCTTCAGACTGAATCCTCTTTCAGGAGAAATGAATCACTGCTTCAGTGAGCTGTAAGGGTACTGTGTGTTTATTTAGGTTCTGCAGTCACAACAGACTGAAACACAACCCTGTAGCTTCACTTTAAAATATCTCATTTTTATATTTTGACTTCTCACTTCAAGGTCTAAGAAGAGATGCAGCCTCCTCCCAAGTCAAGCTTCACATAACCTCTGAGAGACTAAAAACAGAATTTAGTGATCAGATGCCAAAAATGTGTTTGTGTTATAAGAGAATTGCTGAGTTGCAGCACTGCAGTGGAACACAGTTGGTCAGTAAACCAGGATTTGCTAGATAAATTTAAAGTACAAGTAAAGTCTCTAACCATGGTGGGTAGGGGACTAAAACCCACACGCTGTTGATAAGAGAAAAAAACATAACAAGAGAATCCAGAGTTCCTTCTGTCAGGAAAAACCACAAAGACAGATTTAACATAGACCAACACCCAACTTGTCACTATCTAGATTTACCTCTGTGCTGATCATACTGGAAATACAAGTCCACGTTGCTCAACTTAATGAGGTTTCTTACGTCTGAAGTTGGTGTTTATTTTTTCAAAGCAGTTCAGCTAGGTTCATTATCTCAGAAAGTATTAATGGTTCCTTTGCAGGTCATTTCTGCTGGTCTGAAATCTGTCAGTGAACACTTGATCAGCCTCTCTGGGATTTGAACACAGCTCATTATGAATTTTAAACCTAACTTCATATGCTTTGTAATTGTTCGGCTCAGTGTCCAGTTTGCTTTACGAGGACTTTGTGCTATTTTCGTGCTACGTTTCAATAATCTCACGGTGGTTTCAGATTTTCTTTTAAAACCCAAGAGTTTTGGAAGGATCCACGTTCCAAAAGAAAATCACTCCAAAAATCAGGATATTGCGACGTTTGTAAACTAACCAGGCAAACAAAGGCCCGTGTATTGTGACTTTGAGGAAAACTGGGTCAGCAGAGTTTAGTTACCCAATAACCCATTAAAACAAGTTTTTAAAAAAGTTAAAACATTTCTGAAAACCAAAACCACATTAATAGTGTGAAAATACGACATGTCCTATTTATGTACAACCCACTGATTGAAAATCAAATCAAACACATAAAACACAAACACACAAGTGGAAAAAATGACACTAAGATGTTAGACTGATGGCACGATGTCAGAAGACAAAACAGCTTTAAAAAAAGAATCTGATCAAAACAAAAATAAAAAATAAAAATATTCAACCACAGGCAACCCTAAATAAAATAAAATAAATTTCACTGTTTTTAGACATTTTTTTCCCAAATGTATCATTATTGCAGATGAAGCTGTCAAGTGACTGGTAAAGTCGTCAAGCGTGATTGTCTTTAGAAACAGATCATGCAGCCAGCAGAGCAAGAAAGTGAGCGACAGAGTGATGGCAAGAAGGATGACGACACCCAGAGAAAACGTTAAAGAGCATGGGAACATTCTGGCTAATGAACAAGACTGTGCAGCAGGCTGAGCTAGAGTTTCACAACACTACTTTCATGTCCCAGCATCTCAACAGAAAGCATCCAGGAACTTCAGGTGTAACCTGTGGAGATCTAGAGTCTAAACTGAGTATTACCAGCTATGCTAACTGGAACGTTTCAGGAAACAGCCTCGACCTGACAACTTTGTCTGGGCAAATCCTGGTATCTACTGAATATGGACAAAAGTTAACAGTTATGTTCCACAAAAGTACTTGTTAAGACAGTTTTGTAACTGCTTACTGCTTTGTTACATTTTGATGACATTCTTCATTTCTTCAACTGAAAAAACAAAAGCTTCTCAGACTATTCCAATAATTCAGTGTTTCCCTTACATAGGCGTAGCCGTGGCGACCCGCCACGGATGAAATCCCAGTGCCGCCACGCCTACAAGATCCCAAGTTTTATTGATTTCTTTTTTTTTGGAGCCGTTTCCCGAAGAAGCAGCGGGAACTACTCTGTTGTTGATAATCATACAAGTGACGATACATCTACAAAATGACAGACTATGTGCAAACACACCTTTACAGCCAGATGCTTTCTGAAGACAACGCAATGTCACAATTATTTGTTCCCCTCTTTTTCTCTGTGAAGGATGTAGTCGATCCTCTATTGTTTTTGATTAATCAATTAGTTCAACATGAAAAGAAAATTCCCTTCAGTGATATTTACATATTATGCATATCTTTATTGCTACACTACCCTGTTGAAATAATTAGAAAAAAGAACCATCAATATGATTTTCTGCAAAATGCAAAACATTTTCAACCTTGACGTTTGGACACTCGTTCTGCTCAGAAAAAATAACCAACAGAATCAGAAAATTATTAGAGCACATCATACAATTTTTAGGAATTATTATAAAACACCATAAACATCTGAAAACGCTCCTAACGTTGTAATGATCCATATGGGGCTATTGGAAGAGCTGTTGTAACCTAATGTTACGCTCCTTTAAGGAAAAAAGTGAAATTGAGCGCTGCAGATGCAGGGAGCTGTTTACTGGACTTCTCTGATATACAAGTGTTAATAAAAAAATGTTATTCTGCTGGTTTTTAGATCTGCATAAATGTTACAATTATCTTAAATTCACTTGTTCAAAGCTTCCAGTACGCAGACCAATTAAAATGCTCGGAAGTATGCGCTGCTGCAGAAACCTGAGACAGTGTCACAGACTTCATGTGTGCAAATTGACAACAGTCTGCAGTTTGTGGTTTGCAGGAAGTTTATTTTATTTTGGTAGGTTAAGACAGGATGCACATATGTTGTTTATTTACTTAGAAGTTTTGGTTCTGAACATTCCAATATTAAATGTTTATTTGTAGCATTTTAAAAGGGTGTCCTTGCATCATGATATATTAACATTATATAAGTGGTTATTTTGGTATCGATAATGTCGACAATAGTATCATTTATTGTCAATAATTTGTTAGACAATCTATCATCCAGCAAAATATGTTACTGTCCCAGGCCTGGTTAATATTGTTTTGTTCTATCCTTTCAAGCTACACTACTCAGAATGCTTGAATCAAACATTTTATCTTGCTGCAAAGAAGTCTGGAGGAATTTCACTGTTCATGGTGGAAACAAGACACCAGGATAGTGATGCAGTATTTCTGCACAGGTCTTGTTTGACCACCTCAGACCACATAACAAGTAAACCCAGCAGGACTCATCTTCTTCACAAACATTCCAAACTACAACGGTGCCTTCTATACAAGCTGGTAAACATCTATGTAGCTGTCCCAATATGACAATGCGTTCACTCAACTGCGTCCTTGTTTAAGGAGTTGTCTCTTAGAAGCCATTTGACTTTAAGCATTTATATAGAAATTGGGAAAGTGACCTTGTTCGTCTCCCGATTGATATCAATTAGGCTGCTGTTTCACTGTCAACGAAGCAAGCAGCTAGACTGCTAGTTGCATCTAGCTCAGACCTCATTCATATTCTGGTATCAAACTGCTTCGTCTGGATTCTGTGCACAGAAGCCTACAGAACATGAGTGAGATAGATGAATGGAACATTTAAAAACAAAATACAATCCCGGACTGTT